TTTATTGCCATTTATATGCATGTTCTTTTCTAAAGATGTTGTTTATTAATTGTTTAACACTGCTTTGCTTTGTACAATATAATTAGTCTTATAACTATTTTATAGAATTTTCCTTTATCTAAACAATATTTGCCTATCACATAAAACTCAAATTGCATATCTCTATGTCTCTCATTTGTTATGAATAATTGAACCAATGTACAAAAAAATGTCATTTTATATACTTATATTATCTCTTGGTCTCCAATAATCCTAAGTGTACCCCTATTGTTAATAAATTTATATTTCATATGTTATGTTTTAGTAATGCTTACTTTAAAATATATTGTTGGTAAAGCATTTGCCATCAACCTTAATTTTTGAAATAGTACAAATGCAAATATGTAGAGTGCAAAACCTTGTACCACTTTCAAATTAAGTCTATATACAAAATAATACAAAATACAAGTTTTTGCACTCTTCATTTTTGTATTTATATTCCTTCCATACAAAATAATACAAAATATAAGGTTTTGTATTCTACAAATTTGTATTTGTACTCCTTAGACTCAGTTTGGAAGGAGTACAAATACAAATATGTGGAGTGCAAAACCTTATATTTGTACTGTATATATTTGTATTTATACTCTTTAGGCTTAGTTTGAAAGGAATACAAATACAAACATGTAGAATGCAGAACCTTACATTTTGTATTTTGTAATCATTTTCAAGGGTAGGTTGGGGGTATTTTAAGGGACAGGTATCCAAAAATTTTTCAAGTGCTCATTAAACGTGCCTACCCGATCCGAACTGTATTTGATGAAAGTAGGAGAGTGTTTGGCATCAACACATTTAAATCCCCATTCATAATTGCTGATGTGGTTTGAGTGCCACATCAACAGATAAACGTAATCACCCTCAAAATCCAATGAAGTCGTTTTTGGGGAAAACAATCCAAAAAAGTTTATACCTCAGGATTCCAGATCCAGCTTTGTCACTCTCACCCTTGTTGTCTCTCATACCGCTTCCAGTGATGCCCGTCCATATATAACTAGTGTCAATTTTGTTGGTTTCAATTGTACCCATTACTTTTCGCTTGCCAAAAATCTTCAAAATGACCATTGATATTCAACAAGGTTTTAAAAATCGGCCTAAAAATGGAATCACATTGGTCTCAAATTTCCGGGTCAGCAGTTCAACTACTCAGGTTGAGCGAATTATTATTGTTGTTGTTGTTGTTAAGATACATGAAATATATAGAAAATGGGAAGATACAATAAAAAATAATATAGAGGGCAAGAAAAAAAATGTATAGTAAAGCTGTATTGTTTAGGTGAACAAAAACTCAAAAACAAAGGATAGATGATCAGCAAGATTGAGGGGTTTCATTTTTATTTTTTTATTTATTTGAATGAAAACTCAGACAAAAGGAGTGAATGATAAAAGGCCATTACCTTTCTTTTTTTGAGTCTTGTTTTTTTTCTTGTGAACAAGACTCAAAAATGGAGAGACAATGTCAGAAATATAGGGTAAACGACCATCAAGATTGGGGGGTTTCATTTTTTTCTTGGAATCAAAACCATAGAAGAAGAAACCCCTTTATCATTGATTGTTCACCTTCTCTCTCTATATTTTTGTCCAAAGACGAAAAAAGGAAAATTTCACTACCTTTCTCAGTTTTTGTCAAATGAAGAGGAACAATGAAACACCTAAAACCTTTCCATCTAATCTGAGTAAGTTGATGGACTCGCACAAACTATAACTATTAATATTCACTCCTTGAAATCTGAGTTATTGTTTATAAAAGAAAAAAGAAAAAGAAACAAAAACAATATATACGAGAGAAGAGAAGAATAAGAAGAGGAAGTCAATGGATTCTTCAAATTGAATTAGGGGCCGTTTGGCAAGTCTTTTCTGAAATATCTTCTGGAAATTCTGACAGTCAAAAGACAATGTAAGCTTTTGCATAAATATCTTAACAGTTTGAAGAATGTTTGGTTAAGGCGTGTATATCTGTGTGTATTTCTGCACAAAAGTGAGTTGAAAAAAGGGCAAAAATCTCAAATTGAGGCTTCTAAAAAAATAGCTCGAAATGGGCTTCCTATGTCTTTTTGAGGTTGTAGCTTTTCCCAACCAAACGGAAAAATACCAGAGGGGGGCTGCCAAGCTTCAAAAAGCCGACAGCTAGTGCGAAAAGACGCGCCAAATGGCGCTTAGTCAATATTCACTCCTTTTAAATCCAAGCTCATTTTAGGGAAAGAAAATGAAGGAAATATAAGATGAGAAAATAATAAGAAAATGAAGAAGAAGAATACTTCTCATGAGCTTGCGCAATAGTTATTTTGCTAAAAGTTATAAATGAGAAGCATGATTGAATGTCAAGTTTTTTTTTTTAACCTCAACCCAAAAACTGCTAATCGAGTCGAATGCTCCAACTAGTCAACTACCTAGATCAGCAGTTCTTTGACCATTTCAATGCTTTTCTCCAAAATAATGGCTCATGTAAAAAACAAAACCGAAAATGTAACCAATTCCCAAGTCAAAATGTCTGACCACCTGGGTCAATGACAATTTTAAAACCATGGTATTTGACATTCCTTTGAGCTTTTAAAGACCCGTAGAATGATTGTTACTTTCATCATTGGTCGTCATTTTCTACTAGCCAATGTTGATATCGTTGAACGACCTAGGTTGTGTTTGGTACCATTGCCACTTATACTTGCAATATTTTAGGTTGACTAATACAAATTACTAAGAAATCATCTACTCACATAACATTAGATAACCACCCCCACTAAAATAATATAGGCATTAGATTTGGTGTTGGGGTTGATAGTAGAAACATTAAATTTGACGTTTTCTCGAGAAACAACAATGGTACCAATATTGTATTGATAACTCAAAGCATTTGTGATAGAAAAAAAATATACTTTCATATAATTTGTATTGACCGACCTAAAATGTAAAATGTTACAAGTAAAAGTGGCAATAATACCAAACATTACCCTAGTGGGTGTTTTTTCCCCTTTTCCCCATTTCTTTCATCATTGTCACAACATAAAAAGAGCCTTTTAGTGGTGATGGCCATTTCATTACAACCATCTTTTAGGGCGATGTTTGGCATCGATGTCATTTTCTAAGAAAGTGGCGCCATGTAAGCACCATATCAGAGAAAGTGGTGCTTCAAACATTGCTCTCTTGTTTGATACAAATTTTTTATAGAAAAAAAACCCCTTTGCTCCAGACCATGCATTGAAAACCGTGAAAGTGTGGTATGGAGCAACGTCAATTTCAATGTTTTGTGAGAAAAAAACTGCATTGCTTCCAACGGTGCAATGATGTGGCATCATCTTAGATGTTGGATAATGTAGTTTAATGTTGCTGCCAACACTAATACCAACCAAAACCAATGTTGTTTTTTTAGAAAATGCCTATGTAACAACACGGGTTTTAAATAAACAACTCCACGTGCCCAACACAATTTTTATAAGAAAAATGGTGCAATGTTCTCAGCACCGATGCCAAACACCTTTTAGAGACATAATTTCGGCGTCCCATATATCTTCGGTGAAGAAGGGGCAATATTTCAATGATGTTTTGTTGTGATGTTCTAAATAATGTATGCTTTAACTTGAGAATAGCATGCTCTCCTAAGGTGCTCTAAATAACCAATTGTTCTCTTGATAAATTGAAAATATGAGCACTTTGTTATTAGCACGAATGATAAATATATTATTATTTGAGAAAAATAGGCTAATGAGGGGAAAAAAAAATAAAAGAACTGAATTGATATCAAACAATCTCTTCATTTCATAAACATTAATATATCATTAATGAAGCTATTATTTTAATAAAACATTTGAGATCAATGACACAATACCGTTGGATCAGCATTGAATTGGGGCTAATAGCGCGGGGATAGGGAGGGGGTGCCCGGGCCCCACTCCTTGCCATTCCTTGCTTTTTTGTTCCGGTGATCTAGCATTGGTGCATATTTCTTGAAAAAGCACATTCCTTACCGATTCCTCAATGAATTATTTGGAAGGAAATTGATGTGTCCCCACTTTATCTAAGAATTGAGGTAGGATGAAGTAGTACAAAATTTGCATCGTTTTTTTAGGTTTAGTGTTGGGAAAAGTGCAAATGCAAATTGTTTAATGCAAAACCTTGTATTTGCATTGTATATTTATATATTTATTCAATGATCATTAATTTGGAAAAAGTACAAATATAAATATATTCACCACAAAACCTTGTATTTATTATTTTTGTTGAAAGATATATACAATATTTCTAAGCCTTACATTTGCAATATTCCCAAACTGAGCATTAGTGCAAAAATTGCATTGTTAGTGGATGCAAACGAGACACTAAGACTCAGCTGCGAAGAGTAGAAATACAAATATGCATAGTGCCAACTTGTAAATAACCTTGTATTTCAAATGTACATATTTGTAGTTTTACAATCATCCTAAACTCAACATTATATATTATTCAAATAAAAGAATAAATTTTACATCAGATAAAAATGCAAATCACAATTACAAAAAAATAAATACAAAAGTACAGAACCGCGTCATGTGCAAAATTTGCATCTGAATCAGGATCACGTGTATGCATTGCAAACTAACTCAGCCCTTACACATATCTATAATTCTATGCACATAATAACGACCAGGTTGCGGAAGACCTAACTAGCCCATTGTACGAATCATCTACAGTGATACTCGTTAAACCGATCCGATCAATAATCATAATTTGCTGCTGCTGCATCAGCTCTGGACACTTTGATCCATGTTACGTTAGGATGGCGTGGCATATCCATAATTGCCCTAGTGTTGTCCGAGAACCGTAGAAGATTCGGAATCCTAATACCCTACTGCAGTACAAGTATTGACGAGCTGCCACGAATCAAAAGTTCAAAACTCAGGAGTACTCGGGACATTTCTTCTCTTGGAAAGACAACCTTTGACGACCGAAGCCGAACTACGCTCAGCTCAAAGCCTCAACTCAAACTCAATTACTTATCGCCCCAGCCCAGCTAGGATAGTTTCCATCGGAAACTAAACACGCCGCAAGGAGTTCCACAAATTCCCGTAATTATGATAAACTTTGAGGGTATATTAGTAATTTTAAACGTAGACTTCCCTACCAAGCTGTAAAATCCACCGCCCGGCAAATCCTCTCGCCGAAATATCCCAAAATTTTTCTTCTCCCGCTTTCCCCGCCATTTGCGTCTCACCAAATTCTTTCTGGTCTACACTTCTTCCGTTTAGGGCTTTTCCGTGTTCTAAATCCCACTGTTGAAACCCTAATTTCCTGTTGAAGTACCCGAATTTTTGCGTTTCTTGCTCGAATTCGATGGTTATGAATTCGAATCGATGCTCATGTGTGTATTGTTACGTCGCCTAATCGATGACAAACGCCGACGGTTGGAATTACGGGGGTTTCGGTCAGGAGAAGGCGTGCCGGCTTTCAAATACTATACATTCGGAGGTAGCGCCTTGCCTGCCATTGCCGTCACTTCCGGTGTTCTGTGGCGCTCTTGATCAGGAGCTTCGACTGTTGGATGACCAGAGCAGTGCTCGGTCGTTGAATAGGAAAGATGTTCTTGCTCAGGCTAGTAAGATTGCTGATCTACTTAGAGACACTGACGTTTCTTACCTGTAAGTTTTCCCCTGAATTTATATGTATTTTTAAAGTTTAAAGCTTAATAGTGTATGCGAGCTTCAAGGTTTTGACCATACAAGGGAATTGGACTGTCTTAACTGAAAATGCACACTAAATTTACGCACAGTGAGGGCTTGAGTGCACTTTATGCCGGCTAAGTTATTATTTGTTGTTTTTTTGTTGTTTGCCTTTAGTGTAATCCTAGTTTTATCTGCAGAAACATTAGAGATGATGTTAGTTCGTCGCCCTACGGATTTGCAGAACCTTTAAGCCTATACAATGAAGTTCTTCGATACAACTCTGAAGCATTTGGTTACTCCGTTCCAGGTAACGATAGTATTCCTATATTTAAAATTCTATTGTGCATTACTCAATCCTGAGTTTTGCAAAAATTAGCTATTTGAAGTTAGTCATTCCATCTTTATGTTTTCATCACATCCTTAACGGGTATAGAACTTTTTTCCGTGCTGGACTCGGGTTGGGCATGCGATTTCCCCCGTTGGGATCACAAAGATTATCTTCACCCACTTATAGAGAGAAACTCAGCAGTAACACGCATTCTCTCCTTGGATGTTACTGCTGTCAATGCAAGATGTTATGGAGATTGGAGACAGATATGGAAATTAGAGGGGGAAAATAATAAAATGCATGCGTATTGTATTATGGGATCAGGTGCTTTGGCATGCTTAACCCTGGATTACATGCTGGCTAACGAACAAATTTCTTATAATCTATTGATAAACAGTGAACATGAGCATTTGACCTACTACTTAGAGAAAGTGAATGCCACCTCTTAGTTTAGGGTGAAAAGAGCTGAGAAGAGTAAGTTGGACAGTCTGCTATGCCAGAAATATTTTATCTTGATGGCCAATTTTTAGAGCCCAGGCTCTTCCACAGTCTCAGGCTTCACCTTTACCCTTGACTGTTTTAGTGGTGTTCCAACTTCCAAACTTGTTTGATGGGAAAAGTTTGAGTGATAAATAAAGGGGATTGATATTTAGGCAACTGTTTCTCCACGTTCAAATATGTCATTTGCTGATGACATCCAGTTTCTGGTAGAGTGGATTTGGATTTGCTGCCATTTGAATATTAGGTTGATGTTTAGAGGCATCCTTGGTGAGATTATTGAAGCTGGAAATTCTTTCTATACTGGTGCTTCTGATTTGGACTTAGAGAATACTTTTATTGATGAGTCTGGTTCAGCCAGATTTGTACTGTAGAATAACGTTTTTGAAGGCAATACATATTTCATTGGTTCTACTGGTATTGGATAGTTGATGACTTGGATGAGCATTATATACGATATAAGCTTGAAGTGCATATTGTCTATCAATTCCTTTTGGTCATATGTTGGAGCTTAGGGGATGCTGGGATTTGTTGCCAAGGGGAGTGTCACTTACTGTAAAATTTAGTCTTGAGCCTTCTCTTCCATAGTTTATACTTTGTAGTTTTTGTTCATTTACTCTTTTTACCTCTTTATGCCATTCTTTTTCTCCTTCACCACCCAAGACTTTCAAAGAGAATTATCAATTGGAAATGGTTTCCTGGATAACCTAAGAAAACCACAGAATATTAGGTTTGATGGAAAAAAGCGGAAGAGCAATGGGTGGGGAGGGAGGCTAATGCTTTGGCTGGTTCTTTAGTTAAGCAAGGGGTAATTAGGGATCAGTATTATTGGGCTCATTTGTAATTCTTTATTTTTTTTGATGAATGGCTCATTTGTAATTCTTGTACTGTTTTTTCTTTAAGAGTGAGGCTGCAACTCGTGCCTCCCTCTGGGAAGCTTGTAACAGTTGCTTATCCTTACCGATTTAATGAAACCTTAATGAATTTTCACTTATAAAAAAAAATGGAAGAGCAATGTTAGATTGTTGTTCTTATTTGGGCTGGCGTTTATTTATGACCTTATGGAATTCATAACTCTGGATTTTGTATACACTTTTCTTCTCTTTTTGTTGCTTTTTCTTTCTCTCATGTTCTAATGTCTTATTTTATTTAGTTGGTTTAGAATTGGCATTATGCTTATTATGTATTGTATTGTTCAAGCTTCTCAGGTCTTATCAAGGAGGCTAACTACAATATCTTGGTATCTGAAAAGAAACCTTTTGAACCAAATGTTCCTGTTGTTAGTCAAGTCCAAAGAGAGCACGGAGAAGGTTTTAGTCATCACATCGGCGGGAATCTTAGTAATGTATGTATATTTCTTGCTTATCAGCACATATTTGATTTGGTTCCTTCTGTTTCCTAAACTTAGAAACAAATTGGAGTTGCAGGAGGCACCACCCTCAGTTTCTTCTAGAAAACCAAAAGTTAAGAAAAAAGGGGGTGGAGATGTAACTCTATCAGCTGGACCAGATCCTATTGAGCTTCAAGGTTTGTCTATTTGATTTATTGGTTTCATCTTCTTCTTCTTCTTCTTGCACTTTTGGCTTAAGGATCAAGGAAATGAATTTTTAGATGGCATAATTGGGAGCTTTTGTGAGTTGTTGGAGGACCTATGTGGGAGAGCAGAGTTCCTTAATGATGATCAGGATGAAACAGAGTGGCCTTCTTTACCTCTTGCGGATGTAAAAGTGCTTGTAAATGAAGTTATGTCTATCCGGGCAAAGAAAATTCTACACTTGGTTCCTGCGGATATTCTTATTAGACTTCTAATTATAATAGATCGTCAAATCCGCCGAGCAGAAGGTTTATCTATCGAAGAAAATGAAAGTGTAAGTTTGTTATTGCTGTATTTGGATGCCCTCTTTGGTCTAAAGTTTGCACTGTACACCACCTAAGAAGTTGTGTGTGTGTATTTTTTCCTGATTTGCTAGAGTTTTGCTTCCTTTGATTCATTTATATTTCATTTTAGCTCATGCATTTCAACTAGTTCAGAATATTTCTGTACTCACATTTACTCTAAGCTTTGGCTGTTCAACATAAATCTGAATAAGAACCATTGCCCTTAACCAATAAAAAAGGAATTTTGCCCTTAGAAATCTGAATTGTAGCTGCATGTTAACATGGCTTTATTTGATATGTTTACTGAGGATGAAGAAGCTATATATGAAAGTCTCATGGAAAAGACTGCCAAAGTTTGTTTCTAACTTTGTTTTTTTAATAGCTTCATCTCACTTTAGAGCCAGGGTACAGTATTGAATTAGTTATACCACCTACTCCAAATCAATAGAGTAAATCCAATTGTTTCTTTTGATATTAAAAATGGAATAAGTCATATTTCCTGCTTTTTTCTTTTTCTCTTAACAAGGCATTGGTTGTTTCCTTCTCAAAAAAAAGTATCACTTTCATTCCTGTATCAAAGAAGTTATGTCCGTTTATAGAAGTCACAAGCTGATGACTTTCTAGCTCATGTATGAGATGTACACCTAAACGTCTACTCCACCAATCAGAGAAAACAACTTTTGCAAATGCTATATTCCAACAGTTAGAAATATGGACAGGATTAAGTCACTTAATATTGGACAATGTGGTGGAAGCACAAAAGACAGACTAGATGCTCCACTTTCCCAATTACCACCTGCTCTTAATTTCCTTTGCTTTCAAATACACTAATTCCTTTCACTCCACTAACTCCACATATGGCTAAATGTGCTAAATTCCAAACGATGTTATGCATTTTACTGAATCCCTTCGGTAGGCATGTGTCAGCAAGAGCTGACTAGTCCATAAGGATAACCATTGATGCCCCAAAAGCTTTCTGAAGTGAGATCAGTCTTTGGAAGAATAATCATGAACGGCGAGAAGATGTGCCACTACCCCTTCCTAACTTCGTAAAAGAAACACAGAATTTTATAGGTCTTTGCTCTTGAAATTAGATGATTGATGCTGAGGATTTTGTCTAGGTAGGCTTTGCACATAAAGAGGATTATTTTGGAGGGAAAGTTTGACACCTGAATGTACACAAGGGGAAGCCACATTGTTAACTCCAATAAGGGTAAGAAAAAAAAAGAAATTCATCTGTTGCAGTATTATCTGAACTTAAGTGCCTGTGTTGTTTATTAGGAGTTTTTTGCCAGCTGCATTCCTGGCCCAAATCCATTAGAGTGACTTGAGCTATTTCTTGTTTCAGCCTAAACCCAAAGGATTTGGGTTAGGCTGGTATTGGGCTGACAGTGGCCCAGTCTGGGTGCAACAAAGATGTTGATTAGGTATGCAGTATAAATGAAGTGTAAATGAGGGTTATCTCATGTGCTCCTTGTCTGCAACATGCCTCAAATCTTGGGGCCTGAGCCTTTTGACCAAATAGAGATAAATAAAGAGTGACTACAAATAATAAATAAAATCCTAGATATTTTAACCCTCTTATTCTCTCCCCGAAGAACTCTTTGTTATCTTTAAATTATGCCAAAATAATTGATTTCTTCCCACCCCTTATTTAGCCAAAGCATCAGCTAAAGAATTTACACATCTTTTAACCCCTTGCAACCTCACTTCCATATCTTGTGTCAGCCATTTGAACTTCTTTCTTTTTTTTGATCAGCAACACAAAATTGATTCATTAGATTAAAAAAGAGGTACAACAAAGATTTGTGGGCACAAAAACAAAGCTCACCCAGAAAAAAACTATTCACTATTTACAGAATTGCCCAGAACATAGAGTGTCTTTGAGTTCCTTGCTTTGCCAGACCATCAGTCAAACTGTTTGCAGACCTCCTAATCCATCTTATTTGGATCATCATATCTTTAGAAATCTGCTTGTATCTCCTGAATTTATTCCTTAACTTCCATATGATTCCTTCCCCTTTTTTCAACCTGCCCACAAGTACTTTTGAATCACCTTCAATAATCAGCTTAGTAATCCCCATTTCTTTAGCTTTCTCTACTCCATAGACTGCTGCCAATAATTCTGATCTCACCACATCTCCATGCTGAATAGGACCTGAGTACAAAGCTAGAATGTTTCCATTTTCTTCCCTAATTACCCCACCAATACCTGATGGTCCAGGATTGCCCATACAACTACCATCAAAGTTTAATTTCTTCCACCCAACACATGGAGGAGATCAGGCCTCATAAACAATCTTTCTTCTAGATGAAGAACATGCAATTATTCCCCAATGTGCTACTCTGAGAGTAATCACCTCAATCACAGCTTCTTTACTTCTTTCCTTGCCTTCAAAGATTTCCTTTCCTCCCAAATTGTCCAGATCACTGCTGCATTTAAACTTCTTTCTTTCATTGTTGTAGTTCCACAATCTGGCTTCCTCACTTTGCGGCCAACCCACAACCAACTTGAAATCTCCTTAAATAATTAGTTTTCTAATATTCATATGCCTTGCCTCTTATTTATCAAAAAAATATTCATATACCTTGCCCTTTGTCTTTTACACTGATTGGGCCTGAATACAAGGCAATTGATTTGCCTTCTTTAGTCCCCAAAACACCTCCTATACCTGAAATACCTGGATTTCCCATACTGTTTTCATCAAAGTTGAGCTTGATGAACCCAATATCTGGTGGAGACCAACTTGTTTTGGGCTGCAATGTAAAGAGGGACAGAAATGTGGAATAGTGTGGGAGCTCTAATTCCATACACAAAGTTGTAAAACTTTTTAACTCTGATTTCAATTAAAATTCTTCTTTGCTGATAAAAAAAATCTGGTGGAGACCAAAGAGGACTAGTGACAATCTTATTGGGATGAGATTAATAAGTGATAACATGTCTCACCATTGGCTTTGCACAGGACACACTAGTGAGTTGTGAGGGGATAAACACCATGCTATTTGACTTGAAGGGAAAAATATGAAAATTCAAGCTGTTAGAAAGAAAGAAGGGAAATTCAAAAGAAAAAAAATACTGAAATTATATTTGTTACAATAGTAGAACAATACTGCAAGTTGGCCCCAAAATAGCCTTATTAAACAGAAAAGACATGTTGAATCATAAAACAAGAGAATTTTGATATGGCTATGTGTTTATTAAAAGAACTGTGCTTGTGAAGCTTGTGCCTCATCAAAAAAGTAAAGTGGTTAACTAGGAACATGAGATTTGAGGTAAAATGGGTAAGTAGGTCAGCTAATACTATGGCTGATTCTCTGGCTAAACAGGGGGTATCCAGGGAGGTCCTTTTTTGTGCTACTTTGTAAGTTGTTATAATATAGTGGAAGCTGTACTTAACCAACCAGGAGAGGTTGCATCTCGTGCCTCTCCTTGGGACATTGTACTATTCTCCTCTGCTGATTAATATATCTCATTCATTTATCAAAAAAAAAAAAAGCTTGTACCTCATCCCTTAGGCAAGTGAAGTGTGCAGCTGCACATGCCAGTTGTTCAAGCATCCATGGCCTTCTTTTGGCCTAAAGTGTAAAAGCTTGACTTTCAACCTTGATGTCATATCAATTTTTGTATTTTTTTTGTTTTACACATTTTTCTTTTGATTTTAATCATGGTTTAGGTCTTCTTGTGTAGTCAACCTTGGTTCTTTGGTTTTCAATTTTTTCTTTCAACCTTATATAATCCCAAAGACAAGACCTAGGTGTATGCTACTTTCTTTTGTTTTAGTTGGTTTGAATCTACCTAAAATCAATGGAGTGCTCAGTTGGGAAGAGTTATGAGACCTAGATGTATGCTTCTTTTATGTTTTAGTTGGTTAAGTTGCCTAAAATTCAATTAGAGATCAGTTTGGGAAGGGGAAGCCAGCTTAGGAGTTCTAGAGACATAGATGTTGGGCATCTGGTTATTATTTTATTTTTTAATAAATAATTTCTCTCTTGCCTCCCTCCCTCCTCATTCCTGTTGGAGATTCTAAGAGCTAAGTCATTTTGCTTGACTTCTCCTTATTTGTTACTAATTTCATCTCTTTATTAGTTTGGTTACAGTATATTTTCTCTAGATCTGTGGGACTTGTCACTTTTCTTACCATGGTTCTCTGCCCTTGGAAGGGAAGTTGAGTTGGGAATGGAGGGAGTCAGAGTACATTGTGAGATGTTATTCATGTTTTTCTTTTTTCTTTTGTATTTGTTATCACATTAGAGGACAGATCATGTAACTATTTGTAAATGGGACTTCTCACTTTTCTTACCATGGTTCTTTGCCTAGAGGAGGGAAGTTGAAATTGGGAGTAGATAATGAAGCACTAGCTCTTTTTGTTTTTTCTTCTCTCTCCTTTTCTGTTGGTGTCTTCATTATTAAGGATGCCTTGTTCTCCTATACTTGTCCTATTTTGTGTGTATGTATAACAGGTTTATAAAAATGATATACCATTGGAAACACTGTTAAAGAATTGTGTAAACGAGAAAGGTTGAGTAACTGGAACAGAAAAAAAGAAAATAAACCCTTTTTGCAATGATGTGTGAAGCACCAGCTGCAAAGGATTGTTTCTTGCATCTTTTTGTATGCTAAGATACATATGTATATATTATTTCAAATTGTATTTGCAGCCAGTAATTGTTATCTGTGGGATGCTTTCTGTTTTATGGACTGAAGATTTGGAGTTTTACCATGCACAGTTGAAGTTGAATTCTGCCTGTTGGATTTAATGATCAAAATTGAGCTTTCATGCTTGTAGATTAATGCAATTTTGTTTGATTGATGAACAGTTAGCAGTTATGAAAAATTACCTTAGTCCTAGTCCACCTTGGTATAGCCCATGGTAAATTAAGGTAACTCGGTAACATCACCATGTTTAATTAATGCCTATCTCCTGTCTTTTGTAGCCTACTGATTTTTTTTTATTAAAAACATTTAAGTAATTAATTTTGGATGTTTATATAATCGAGAGCTGAACCTCAGGAATTATATTACAAGCTTTATGTTTATATTTAGAGTGCAGCAACAGTGAAGTTTGTGCCTCTTTCTCTATTTTATTAGTAAACCTTGTTTTAATTGCAGTCTGACTCAGATCTTGTATCATCAATTATTTGTGCTCTGGAGTGCATTCATGCAGCATTGGCTGTAATGTCTAACCATGATATGCCAAAGCAGATCTATAAAGAAGAGGTTTGTGTGCTCAAATCTCTTTCTTTCCTTTCTTTTAGCTTTTTCTTGGGGACTGTAGGTTAGGCCATTTGTCAACTTAAGTTATGTCTTATTGGTGCATGCTAATTATCCTGTGATTCAGAGGATTATTGGAACTTTGTCGGATCTAATTAATATAACTTATTGATATCAGGTTATTGAAAGGATTCTTGACTTCTCTAGGCATCAGATCATGGGCATCATGTCAGCTTGTGATCCATCATATCGTGCTTTGCATAAACCAAGTGAAAATGGGACAGTTGAAGGTATGCTTCTTCCCTTCTTAAATGAATATTCAAAATTGTCTTATCTTGTAACATATGCACCATGTTCTTTCATGTATCCTAGGGTACTTACTGATGGCAGTGAAAGTGGAATCTGAGATGGGAATGGTTTCTCTGAGTTATAGAGTTTATATCATCGAACCAAAAGATAGAGGAGATATATGGGATGAGCTTGCTGAGGTTACGGTAGGAAGGTTGGCAGTGGATTTATGCTGCAATACAGATGATGATCTAGACATCAGCATGGAACTTCTGTATAAAGAGTCTTCATTGTTGTCAATTGAAGAAGCATTGACATAACCACAAATTGGTTCATATGACCCAAGTATTTTTCTTGTTTTGAGAGTGAGTTATGTGGTCCAGGTCCATGTTAAAAATTCCAAAAAGTATATAAGAGAGTGTAGCAAGGAAAATATTCTGATTGTCGGCTTGATTTGTAAGTGTATAACAAAGATTGAGGGGTGGATTTGGTTCAACTGAACATGGCAATTGGAATTAGGCAAAATGTTTGTTTGTCTGGGTAAGGTAATAGTGGGGCATGTTATGAAAGGAGGTGATCCTGTTTTGGAGAAGGAAGAAGTTTTTGTTGAATCATTGCTCACTATATGATGGCATTTCTATAATGATATCTGATCCATTATCCATAGTTGTAAAGGCAATAGCCCAAACAATATTTTATCTATAGAAACAGTACTAGCAATTAAGATTATTGATAAGGAGGCACTTGAACCAACTATTTTTATTACCTTAGATCAATTATACATCATGATGGAGCAAAACATGATGATGTTGGTCATAAATTTAGAGCATAGTGATTAGTTGGAGAATTTGACAGAGAATAAGAACTAGCATGAGAAGGTTTAATCAATTTGTGGATGGTTTTGAACTCAAAGAATTGCCCTTAGCTTATAATTCCTTTACCTGATCCAACTTGCAGGCTAATCCAATTTGCTCCAAACTTGATAGATTCTTGTTTATTGTGGATTTGGAGGAGCACTGGGGTGATCTAGTTTTTAGAGCACTTCTAAGGGTCACCTCCAATCATTGGCTGATTATGATACATAAGGAAGTTTTGGGTGGTATAGGTTTGACACTTCGACTCTTTTCAGGTTTGAAAATATGTGTTTTTGTTCTAGTGGTTTTATGGATAATGTTAAGGAATGGTGGGAGGGGTGTAATCCAAGGGCTAGATGGGAAAGGATGAAATTTCATTAGAAATTGAAGGAGTTGAAAAATAAAATAAAGGAGTTGAAATTTCAGGCTCATTTGATGTGAGAGACAAGGGGGAAGGTGGAATTTAAGAAGACAAGGGGCAAGGTGCCAACCAACTGGTTGGTAAGGTCTCTTGCTGGTCGTAGCAAAGACTTGGGATTGAATCCCGCCTACACCTGGGTTGGGGGATGGGCTACCCCCTGTTGTGTAGCCCTTCAAAAGAAATAAAAAAAAGGAGGTTAGTTGGAGACAAAAATCAAGGAATGATTGGCTTATGGGGAAAGGAGAAGAAATTTTGTCTCTAAGTTGGTGGATGGGGTGTCTTTGGATAACCAAAATGAGATTGCTTGAGCTTTTGTGGATCATTTCAATTCGTTGTTTAGGAGACCGTTGGATAATAGACTGTGGCTAGATGGTCTGGATTGGCCTAAGTTGAGGAATCTAAGGCTTGTTTGGAGAGGAACTTTGAGTTGGTGGAGATAAAAGAGATTGTGTTTTTTATGGATAGATCCAAAGCTTTGGGTCTTGATCGTTTTACGATGGCCTTTTATCAATATTGTTGGGAAGTCTTAAAAGATGATTTGTAGAAGGTGTTCAATGAATTTTTTAGGGTGCGGTATAATCAATTTAGGTCTTAATTCACCTTTATCACATTAATCCCCAAGAAATTTGAAGCGTTGCACCCTAAGGACTTTAGGCCAATCAGTTTGATCAATAGCTTGTATAAATCATTGCTAAGGTGCTATCCAACAAGATTATGGTTGTCCTATCTTCTTTGATCTCTCCTTTTCAAGGGGCCTTTGTTCAGGATAGGTAAATTATCGATTAAATATTAATTGCCAACGAATGTGCTGAGGAAATAAGAAGATTTGGAAGGAGGGGATTGGTTTGCAAGTTGGGGATTCTGGGAAAGGCTTATGACTTGGTTGAATAGGGATTCTTGTTGGAAGTAATGAAGAGCTTTGGGTTTGGGGATAGGTGGTGTAGATGGATTTAGGGTTGTATAAAGTCTGCTCATTATTCAATTTTGGTTAATGGGGCTATGGTGGAGCACATTCCAGCTATTAGGGGAATTAGGTAGGCCGACCCTCTATCCGCCTTTCTTTTTACTATGACAACAGATGTGCTTAGGTGACTGATTTCTAGGGCTGATGCTAGAGGTTTGATGAGAAGTTGGAGAATTGGTAAAGAGGAGATTCCAAGCACCATCTTCAATTTGCTGTTGACATAATATTATTCTATGATTGGAGTGATCAGAGATATGTGAGGAGTCTAAAGTGGATCATATTTTTGTTTGAGAGGATGCCAAAATTTGAAAGTGAATTGGGATAAGAGTTGTCTTGTGGGATTGAACATGGGCAATAACCAAGTGACTGAATGAGCTGATTTGTTGGGGTGTAAGGTGGATCATATGCCTATGAGTTATTTGGGCTTGGCCTTGGGGTATAATGAAAAGGGGTGTAACTTTTGGAACCGAATGGTGGTGAAATTAACTAAGAAATTGGCTTTTTTTGAAAGAAGAGCTATCTATCTTTGGGGGGTAGGACCATCCTTATTAAGTCCATTCTTGCCAATTTGTTGATTTATTTCACGTCTATTTTTAGAATTCATGGTGAGTTAGCAAGAAGCTTGAGAAATTGATGAGTAGGGGTGGATTCGAGTTGAGCTGAGCCGAATACTTGACTATTCGAGCTTGGTTCATAGGAAGTGTTAGGCTCGAGTTTGATTCGAGCTAGAGACTTGAGTTCAAGCTTGACTCGGTTCAAAAGCACTCGCAAGTTCAAGCTCGGCTCAGCTTAAGCTCGACTGCAAGCTAAACTTTTTCTAAAAACTAAAAATTATAATTTTTTTTTTATTTTACATACAAAAAAGAATTATAAAAATATTTATTATTATACATACAAAAAAATAATTATGAAAATTATTTTTATATACAAAAAATAGAAATATTATCAATAAAAATGTTATTATATATATAATAAAAATAATTTATTTATTATACTAGGCTCGTGAGCCTCACGAGCCGAGCTTCATTGGGCTCGAGCTTGGCTTGATTAGCAAATATCTGGCTCGAGCTCGGCTTGAAGCTTGGTTTAAATTGAGCCGAGCCGAGCTCAAATAGCTCGTGAGAAGCTCGGCTCATGGCCACCCCTATTGATGAGGGACTTTTTGTGGGAGCCAGGGGAAGGGAGGAAAGATTGTAGAGTTTGTTGGGAAATTGTTAGAGGAAAGATCGTAGGGCTTTGTTGGATTGTCTGGGAAGAGAGAAATCAAAGGCTGTTTGAAGGCAAAGAAAGAAGTGTGGGTGCCTAACTGACGTCATTATTAGTTACGGTGATCCATTGGGTGAAAACTGTGAATCTTTTTGATGGAATTTTTGTGGTAGATTTAAGGCGGAAGTGGAGAGAAGTGGCTTCTTCTGAGCTATTGAAAGAGTTAGTTGTGTCTACATGACCTCCCCCTACTAATGGGTTCATCAAGCTGAATTTTGATGGTAGTAGTGAAGGTATTGGAGGTGTTTTCAGGGATGAGGATGTCAATATTTTGGGAATGGGAGGCGGTACTTCGAGGGAGGTGAACGCCTTGGGCAAATTAAGAGAACCTGTTACGCATCTAGATCAAGGTCAAGGTGTCATTTGCTCGAGTATGTCTTCTTCCAATTCAAATGGCAAAGAAACAATCACTCCTCGTTCCCTTGTAAGTGCAACATATGTTGATCTTGAGGAGACTTCTCCAAGCAAACTCCCTCAAAACCTAGACAGAATTGGTGACATTTCAGGTTTTGGTGTTTCTAGTATGTTTTGTCTTGATTCTTGTATTCCTCGAGTTTTTGATACTAATCTGCCCCCTTCCCCAGTTGTTGTTTTGTCTCAGCCCGCAGGTGAAGCTGACACTCATCCAAAAGCTGCCTATCCTAGTGACACTCTTCCGGAAGCTGCCTGCCCTAGTGATTCAATAGAAGTAACAGAGGCTTTAGAGGATGTGGAGGCTCTGAATGATACTGTGGATGAAGGGGAAAGCATTTGGGGATTAATCTTGCAGACCTTTAGATTCTTGGTAGAGGAGGAATTAGGGGAGAATTTTGAAAAGGAACAGGATGGTGACACTCTAGTTCCTAGTTCCCAGGTAAGTGGAAGGGAGGGAGAAAGGGTAAAAATGGGTGAAAAAACGACAAAGAGGAGAAAAGTCAAAAAAAGAAAAGAGCGGAAGAGCAAGATAAATCTAAGAAGAAGCTTGAAGGAGGGACACCTAAAAGGAGGTAGAAGAAATTGAGTGAAGTGGAGAGATTGAGATGTGAAATGGACTATGATAAGGGGTGTTTTGGGAGAAAAGGAAGGTAGTCAGGTTAGCAAAAGGTGGTGTCTAGGATTGCTCATAAGTTGTTTCTCAATGAAGATTATTAGTTGGAATGTAAGGGGATTGGGGAGTTCCAAGAAGAGAAGAGTGATAAGGGAAATGCTCAGAAAAGAAAAGCCAAATGTTGTGTTGATTCAGGAATCAAAACTATCAGAGGTGGATAGGAGATGGGTGAGAAGTATTTGGTTAGCTAGAGGACTGAGTTGGGCTTTTGCACAACTTGGGGGGGGGGCTCAGGGAGTATTTTGACAATTTGGAAAAACGAGGATTTGGATTGTATAGAAGAATTAATTGGTAACTATACAGTTATAGTGAAATTCAAAAGAAGAGTTGATGGATTGGAATGGGCTTTAACAAATGTTTATGGGCCAAATTCGTATAGAGAAAGGGAGGAGTTTTGGGAGGAATTAGCG